TACATGTGGCTCCCCAGCCCAGCCCAGCCCAGCCCAGCCCAGCCCGGCGGCACAAATAAGAATGCCAGCCAATGGGGAAGGCAGGAAGCGGTTTCGCCCAATGAGAAAGCCCTGGGGGTTGGCTCAGCTTCTCTGGTGTTTTCCCACTGGGAAACCCTGGTGCTTTCCCACTGGGCAAAACTGCTTCCTGCCTTCCCCATTGGCTGACATTCTTATTTGTGCCGCCGGGCTGGGCTGCTGCTGCTGCTGTTATTATTATTATTGCAAAGCTGGTAAAAGCAAGGGGCTTACTTTTGCTGGCTTCACACAAAAGGGCTTTCCTTTATCAAATTTACTGAAATTAACTCACTTTTTCAGCATTTGAATGGAAAGCAGCAGCCATCTCTAGCCTTGTTACTCTTTCTTCTGAAGTGATTGTGAATTGTTTCCACACTCGGTTCAGCTTTGGAAGTGTCTCTCCTGAAGATCTAGAAGTGCATCTCAGAGACTGACACAAAACCACAGTAGCCTGTAGTAACTGTCGCCCATAATCATAGGTACTCTATAAAAAGAAAAACTGTCAGGCCCAGCCCAAGAACAACATTGAAACAGTCGAGTACAGTTCCTTTATTTGCTTACACCTTATAGACAGAATCTTGCCAGACTAAATCTATGGTACTGCAACAAGTGGATATACCCTGGGAGATACTAGGGAGTGTCTATCTGAACCTCTTTTGCTTCCCACACTCCCCCTGCGGACTGTATTGCCTTTTGCCTCCCTTCCCCTCCTGGAATGCATCCCCTCCTTCCTGATAGCCTTGATCTCTCACATCACCCTCCTCTCTGTAGATACATTCCATCACAAAAACAGATATTAAGATGAACATTTTCAGTGCTGGGACAGATTAACTGCAACACAGTAACATGCGAATCATAAGATACTACAGGTAGCCCTCGGGTTACAACTGTAATTGCGACTGGGATTGTCGTCACTAAGTGATGCGGTCATAAAGTACGACATTATGTGACCTCATTGCTTAGCGATGGCAATCAGTCCCAGTTGTCACTGTAACCTAAGACACGCAGGTCGTTAAATGGGAAGTGGAAGGAATCCCAGGTAAGGAAGCTGCCACGGGGGTGTTGCAGGAGGGTGGGGGAGGCCCTGGGAGGGCCAGCATAGGCTGCACTTGAGGGGGGAGGGGGTGCTTGGCATGAGCTCAGAAGGGCCAGGGAATGAGGGGACGGAGTGCGTGCAATTGCAGAGAGGCCATGGAAAGAGGGCGCGGGGTATGTACATGTGTGTGTGCGATCACAGGGAAGCCAAGGAAAGAGGGCGCGGGGTGCATGGAATTAGAGAGGTCATGGAAAGAGGGCACTGGGTGCGTGTGTATGTGTGTGCAAGCACAGGGAGGCCGGGGAAAGAGGGTACGGTGTGTGTGCAAGTGAAGGGGGAAAGGAGGGCATGGTGCGGGCAAGTGAAGAAGGGGGGGGGGGACTTACAACCTTCCTTGACAGCTTCTCACTGACTTTGCCTGGGGGAAGCCAGCAAGGAAGGGCGCAAATGGCAACCATGTGACTGCGGGATGCTGCAACCGGCCATATGTGCAAGCTGGTTGCCAGGCACCAGAATTTTGTTCACATGACCATAGGGGTGCTGCAAAGGCCAGAACTTCAAGGACCAGTTGTAAGTCCCTTCGTTCAGCACCGTCATAACTTTGAATGGTTGCTGAACAAATGGTCGTAACTCGGACTACCTGTATGGATTTTCTTGGGCCTATTAAAAACAAGTTTGACTTTCCATGTTATTTTCACTTGCAGGAACATCCAAATGGGGATGAAGGATAAAGCAGCAAATGGAAACTGGACTTTCTTGGCTTGTTTGCTTTCAGTTAGAGTGCATGTGTAGAGTCTCACCATATTCGGCAATTATGAAAATTCTTTGAACTATTTTAGAATAAAAGTCTAGATAGATCTGGTCTGTTATTGATTCATCCTCTACTCATCTGCCACCCTGTCCCCATTTACCTGAACACCTCATTACCAGAGCATTCACATCTTTTCTTTTCTCTTTGCCTAGTAATCCATGCCAAATAACATTTGCCTATTAATCAATGCCAAAAATGATGAATTCTTGCTAACTCGTTATAGAAAAATGACTTGAAAAACAGAACTGTGGCTCCAGGTACAGTATGTATCCATTCCATGTTCAGTGAAGATGAAATGAATTCAAGCATTTCATAATCAGTCAAAAACATTTTGACATGTATAAATTAACCTTACATAAGATTACAGTTGGCCAATAATCTTACTAAATCTAATTATGATTGACATTAAATCATTTTAATTAGTAAACTGCTCAGTAAATAACCAAAATGGCAATTTTAAATATAGATAGCAAACCTTAATAGCTGTTTTGTACTGAGCAAACTAACTTGCTATAGAAAAAAAAGTCCATCACATACCTGTGCTACATCAACAAATTTCCTATGTTTTTCCAACAAAATTTTGGTTTCTTGGGCATCATCTCCCAGTCGGGTATGAGTCTTCAGCAGAGCATCTAATAATTCACTTAACCATTCTATTGCCTACAGAGAAGAGTAGAAAGAGATTGTAAAGTAAGAGAAGAAATGTAGAATAAATTTGTTAAAGCTGTACAAAAAATACAGCTACCCTAACCCTAAAGTAGCCAACATTGTGTCAATTCCCAAAGTTCACTTAGCTTGTCCTAAAGCTTTCTTTCAGGCAACAGCTGCCACCATCAGTCTCACCTGAGCAGCATCCTCTTCACACTTAAACAGCTGAACCATCTGAAGCATCTTTAATCGTCGCACATCTACCATGTCCTCACATCTGTGAAAGACAGAATGTAAAACTGGATCAGAAAGGTCACTCTGCTGATAAAAAATATACATGGACAATTCTTATTTTTAAATGTAGCAACGAAGTTTGGGAAAATGTGTAAAACACCATGATAACAAATAACACTTTAAGAATACCCAAAATCTGATAAACCTTACAACCTTAATTAGTCTTAAACACTAATACTGATAAGCCCATTGGAAAGTTCAGCTTCCTTATTCATCTTTAAAGCTGCTTATGATACACCCATGCAAGTTCTATTCTTGTATTTTGTACCGGTGACTTAACTGTATTATTTCTTATGGCCATTTTTACACACAGTGCTAAATTATGGTTTAACACTGTGTGAACGAGCTTGGGTCCATACTTTTTCTCCTTAGAAAACTGCTGTGGGATTGGAAGTTTTTGTTCTGGGCTTTCACCAGATTTCCTCATTTCCTCAAATCTGGATTAGTTCAAACAAGACGGGATCAGAACATGACAGCAGTTTAAACAGTAAAATTCCTTAAGCCCAGATGTTAATAAATCATTCTGGCAAGATAAATCAGAGAAGTAGGAAGAAAAAAGTAGAGCTGTGCATGTCCTCTGAAAGAGCTCATCTGCCCAAATGCAGAACAAGTACCTCCCTCCGAATAATGAAAGCAGCCACTGCATGGCTGTTTGGCAAGCTGCTCATGGCTGACTCTGCATGCATGCTCATGCACGGCCGCTTCACTTTACTCACTCCCAGCAATGCAGGTGTGGCAATGCAACAGCGTGCCGAGGATCAGGTTATGAAGCAGCCACACTTGAAAAAGATAAGGCTGCTTTGGACGAGCTCCTGTAAGTTGCAAAGTACCTCTTCTGAAGAATTCTCACAAGCAGAGATAGGAGCACTCAACACATGCCTATGTGTCGTTTATGTGACATTATGCCATTCAAACTAGTTGATGTTATATAGCTCTCAGGATAGCTGCTGATCTTGGATGAAGGATTGAGATGATAATGACGATGATGATGATGGTCAGCCCAAATCAATCCACTACAGGATGAAGGCCTCTTCTTTGAAGGTTATGGATTGCAACCTACTATGCTGGTCCAGGACAAGCTGGTAAACAGAAGTTTTTGAGTTTTCAGTCTAGGGCTGAGAGAGAATGAGTGACCCAAAGTCACCCAGCCAGCTTCTGTGGCTAAGGGAGGACTAGAACCAGTTTCTCCACTCCCAGTCCAGCACCTTATCCACTACACCACACTGGCTCTCATGTGCGTCGGTCTCCTTCCTTCCTTCCTTCCTTCCTTCCTTCCTTCCTTCCTTCCTTCCTTCCTT